GTTGACTCAACTGCGGAGCGCATTGAAAAAGGACCAACCGAGTTTTTATATATATATATATATAAAATTCCTATAACGACTGCCAGTGCCATCCTCAGCCTACTCGGCTAGCACCACCGAGGAGCTGGAGCTCTACGCGGACTCCGCGTGCCAACACCGGCTGAACCGCTCGGGCGACACGGGCGGCGGCACGTCGATCCTGGCGTCGGGCTACGTGCCCTTCGTGAGCTACTTCGATCGGATGGCCAAGGGAAAGATGTGGTCCGAGGCACCGAAGCGGAGAGCGGAAAGACGTGGGAGGGGAAAATCGAAAGAAAGGAAGACCGGAGGACAAAGTCAAAGGACACTATAGAATTAACTTGACTAAAGGAGTGAGGGAAGTGGGTGGAGTGCAGGAGCGGGGCAGAAGACATGTGTGTAGGCATCAGCTGGGCACTGAAATGGATGCCTAATATGTGTGTGTAAGTATTTCATTGAACGTGGGATCGAGACCAAGTTGAAGCAGAATGCAAAACCTAACGAAGACAAAGGCGTTGTCTTCCACGCTGAACCGAGACAGACCCAGCGAACTGGCCGTATCAGTCTTCTCACAGTCCTCGAAGTCGGGCGTGTGTTCTCCGAAACCAAGGCGATAGCAGTTGAAGTCTACTGAAGTGTCCTTGGTCAGCTTCATCAGCTTAGCCAGGTCACCAGCGTTTAGCCCTCTTCAGGTGCCGAACACGCAGGGAAATGGACAAAATGGACCCTACACGCACACGATCAGCGTGTTGCACCTAAGAAACGGCCTCATCACAGGCCGATCACCGTCACCACCCGACCAGGCGCAGCACTTGAACGATGGGGATCTATCCACGGGGCTCTTGCTGCAGCATCAGCCGAACACGAACCACTCACGCTTCGCCTTTGTGGGAGTGGACTTCTTGTCCGTGTCCACCTGGGTGAAGTGCATCAAGCTCCTCCAAGGTGCCGTTGGGTTGAGACTCCACGATCTTCTCGTGAAGAGACTCGTATGGTGGGACCGTATAGGGCCTTAGGATGGACAGAACGTCGAGGAAGAGGCTACGGTGGCTGCGTGATCCCCACAAATAGATGCAGGGTGCTGCATGTGAGTTGTCGCCACCCGTGATCGGTCTTCGGTGCCACAAGAAGAGCTGAAGCAGGCGATGTCTTCCGATCCGCCCATGCCGCGCAGGTCCCATGCCGGAGGAGTCCGTCTCCTCAGCCAAGTTGGAGGCGGGGAGCCGTTGGGTCGTGGAGTGAAGAAAGAAGCCCGGTTGGTGAGAATTGAAGCATATATACGTTGGGTCTGTCCGTTCTTACCTGTAACAGTCAGTATACAGTTATTACCTATGTTTGAACAAGGCCTTTACAAACCATCATCCACTGTTACAGGTATTAGGATGGACCCAATATATATATATATATATATATGTCTCATTGGGTGGCGAACATGTTTTGCTGGATGTTCAGATAATATGTGTTTTTGTTCTTTTTCTGCGAGCGACCATCAAACAAGGAACCGTTCTCTTGGCGAGAGCCCTGTTTGATGAAAGGTCTGGAGCAGTGAGCCGACTTTCCCAACAGTTTGCTCTATATGTCTATGTTTTTTCTGGTCGTCAATGAGAGACTTCCTTGCATCAAGAAAAATGCCAGTGCTTCAGTCAACGAATGCCAGCCAGACCTGGGAAATCTGACCTCAAAGAAATCCCCCAGCGGAAGCTGTCGCCGTTGTGAGGGCGCTGTTGCTCAACGCGTGGCTTGCTGTTCAGCTTGACCGTTTCGCCCGGATATTGTCCCCTTTAGCCCAGAACAAGAGACGTGAGACCTTCCTTCCGCTCTTAGAGTCCATGGGTCCCTCGCTTTCCTTTTCGGCCACCGGGGCGACATTTGCGGCCCGTGGGGGTGGTCTCTAGCTTCAGCCGAGCCTGGCTGGGTCTGTTGACTGAACGAGGTGTGGAATGGGCACGAGTGGGCGAGCAACGACCCGGAGCTGAGCCTTGTTGAGCTTGATGAGGTTCGGTTAGTAGAACAGATTGTCCAAATCAAGAGCATGTTCGGACCCACGAAGTGGTCGTGATATTGGGGGATTCATAGGTAGTGGATCGTGGGGGGGTTATCCCTCAATCTTGACTACGGACTCTTCTCAGATGCTTTGGGGGGGGACAGCCCAACGAAGCTGTGTTGTTTGTATCATCGATTATGTGAGACCATGTGAGACCCAACTTCAACAAACCATCGATGATGCGGTGCCCCCCCGCTCCAACATCTCCAGTCGTTCTCCCGGACTTCTTGAACCGCTCAAAGAGCGCGGGGCTTTCCTTTGCGAACTGCGCAAAGGGCACCGGGCCAGGTTCCGGGGCAGTTTCCTTGGGTCTCAACTGGTTCCGGGCCAGTTTCGGGGTTGCTCCAAACAGAGTTCCCCAAGGAGCCAATTCGAAGTGCAGCTGGACGGCCTGGGCGGCGGCGGCTGGCAACGGCGCCCCGCGGAGCCTGGGTCCCTGTGGCGCGTGGAGAACGCGGTGGAAGTGCCACAAGGACCGGGTCTCACAACGCGGGTTGGACATCGGATGGAGGGCGAGTCCATTTCGGGTGCGATTTTTCTTCACATGAAAACGGGGGCGAGTGGGACTGGTTTCGAATGCATCTATTGCCCCCCTCGTGCCCCCTTCATTGCCCTTTTGTGTTTTTCATCTACTGCCCCCTCGTGCCCCCTTCATTGCCCCCTTCCCTGGTGTCACCTTCATTGCACCCTTGTGTTTCATCTACTGCTCCTCGAGCCTGCTTCATTGCCTCCTTGTGTTTCATCTTCTGTCCCCTCGTGCCCCCTTCATAGCCCC